CAGTATGCCGTAGTCGGCAATCTTCCGTTTTGGTATAGAGTGGGACAGGGAGGGGGTGATGCTACTGTAGTCGAACGGTGGGACGGACGTGCAGTTCAGTTTTTGGGCACGCATACGGTGCTGCAGGGATTTTAAGGTGTACCTCTTCGGGCTCTTGGATACCTTTTTCTCGTTATATGTGTGCGTGTTCTTTAGATCCTCAGATGGCTCTAGCGCTTTCGTGACCACGGGCTGAGAGTCTTTTGCTAGATTTTGGCATTTGGCAACTGACATACGGTTTAATGTGAAGACAACAACAACAACAACATAGCATGTAGCGATGGAAAGATGTGTGGGCAACCGCATACTTGACCATCAAAACCGCAAGGGGTAACACTGAAAATGAAACGTGTCCCTTGCAAGTAGAGTGAGAAACCTATGACCGACTTCCTCGCCAAAACTCCCATGCATCCAGGTGATAATGGCAAATACTGGAAATGCCGAAATGACGCCAAATGACGCCGAACCAGAATTCTACCCTTCAAAGAGTCAGCCAAGTATGCACATGAAGGAGCGCACACGCAGCCATTCGTCTGAGCTACTCCCCCACCTCTCCTGGCTTTCGGAGCTAGCCGGCAATTCGGATCCAGCCGTTGTGCGATACGTAATCATCTCCGTTAGGATTTGAGGAGGACGGAGTCTAAAGCTGTAGAGAAGCACTGCGCCTGTTCGGTCCTTCCTACTGCTGCTTGCGACTGACTTGGGCCCTCCAAAACTCCGACAGGTACGAACAAACTCCTTCGTGTGTGGTCGAAGATGGACTGCGTCTTTGTACAAGCCCAACATGCCACCATGCACAACATACTGCTGCTGCCGTTCACCTGTCGCCGCCCTTCCACGTCTACCTGTCCATGACACATGCTGCCACTTGATGCGACAATGTTAAGGAGTGTGGCTGCTAGCATGAATAGGGTACATCGTATTCTTGATAGGATGCGGGTCGGTCAGGAGGTATACTCTTCTGACCCCTACCCCCTTAGAATTGTCTACTCTAAGTACCCCCTGAGATGAAGCTGGATCCCCACTTCATCCCAGACCTTTGCTGATTGTGGGACCCGAGATGACAGCATGCTTCCCACGTCTGCTACCACCTCTACTGCATTCATGCCAGCGCACCGGCCGATGTCCGCAGATTTTCCTGTTGCGCTGTCCGATTTGACTCCGCTTGCATCGACTTGGAACGCGATGTTTGCACACAAATTGGGTGTCAGCCGCCCCACCAGCCTTCCCTCCATTTTTCGAAATCACATGGCACTTTTTTTCGGGGAATCGTTCACCCTCAAAGCATTTGAATTGGAAACCTTTCAACAGCGCAAACCCACAGCGGTCTTTGCTCGCACTTCGGCACCAGTTGCGGAGGAACGCCGTGCTGCTCTGCGTGTCTTTTGGTCGGAAAACCTCGTGTCTCCATGCAACACGGGCCCTTTTGTGCTAGCTTCTACTGCTGTTTGTGCGTGGCATGGTGTGCTTTTGGACGCTTTTTCTGCTTGGTTGGATCCGCTTCAACCCCGTGTGCACCAAGCTTTGATAACTGGGCGTATGCTATCTTGTGGATATCTCCGCCTTTCGCATGGACCTCGGCTTGCTCTTCCCGAAGTTGCACCCGGCTTTACTGCTTCTGCTGCTCTTGGTGCTGCTGCCTCAACTGCGGTTGGTTATCCTACATCAACTGTTTCTGGCCCTGCTTCCCTTTCCAAAATCGATCGTAACTACCCTCTCTCTGGCCCTGTTCTTGTTCACAAAGAGGACACCATGTCCAGCGGCAACGTGGAACTCCTGGGCGACAATGTGGAAATCCTCGACTACGAACCCGAGGGCGAGGTTCCCACCGCAGAGCAGTTTCCGGCGGCGAGTGCAGAAGACGAGAGCCCCCCCATGTCCATGGTGTTCACCGTCGATGATTTGCTGGACAACATCGCCACAGCAGATCCGGCGGAACTGGAGCGGGCCTACAACACCGGACGTGTCTCTCTGGAGGATATCGTAGAAGCGGCCCATCTGTCGTCCGATTCCCCCCTTTTCGTTCCTCCTTTCTCGCTCCCGCCGGAAGACAGATTAATCCTCTTGCCCCACGACGAGTTTATGGCGTACCAAAGGTTGAACGAGATGTGGTGCGACGGTCTTGCCGGGAAGATAGCAGAGGCGGAGGCGCGAGAGCAGGCGAAGCGCGAGGACGCGGAGCGCTTGGCGGAACGGGAGGCTGCTCTGGCCGCTGCGGCGAGGAAGCAGGAGGAGGAGCGTGAGGCTGTTCGGGCTGCTGCGGCGAAGAAGCAGGAGAAGGAACGTGAGGCTGCTCTGGCTGCTGCGGCGAGGAAGCAGGAGGAGGANACTGCTTGGCGGAACGGGAGGCTGCTCTGGCCACTGCGGCGAGGAAGCAGGAGGAGGAGCATGAGGCTGTTCGGGCTGCTGCGGCGAAGAAGCAGGAGAAGGAACGTGAGGCTGCTCTGGCTGCTGCGGCGAGGAAGCAGGAGGAGGAGCATGAGGCTGTTCGGGCTGCTGCGGCGAAGAAGCAGGAGAAGGAACGTGAGGCTGCTCTGGCTGCTGCGGCGAGGAAGCAGGAGGAGGAGCGTGCGGCTGTTCTGGCGGAGCGTGAGGCGTATCTCCAAGCGGCTAGGGCGAAGCAGGGGGCGCTCCGATCGCGGCTGAAGGAGCTGGAGCCCCGCCACCAGGACCCGCGAGCATCCCCCTACCCCCGTCGCCGTGTTATCGTGCCCCCCCCCACGCAATCCCAGGTGCACGTTGGTCCCCGTCGTACCGCCTCGCCGCACGAGAAGGAGCGCGAAGTGGCGGCGTCCCCGACGAACGAGCAGGAGCGGAAGAGGACAGCGACTCCGGAGTTTTCGGTGACTTTGGGTCTTCCGGCTGGTGCTGAAGACGGAGCATCGTTTGCGGCGGCAACCACGGTGTACGAGTTCCACGTTGGAGATACAGCGTTCCTGTCCCGCCCGCTGGAGATGCCTGCAGAAGGTGTCACCTTCCACGACGAGGATAAATTGGCAGCTCTTTTTGCATGGGCTGGCATCAAACAACTTGTCCGTGCACAATTCCCCCCACCGCACACCGTTGCTTTCGGGCACATCTACCACACACCGTACCTCGCGAAACTTCCGCCTTCTTCGCGGCAGTCCGTGTTCCAGCTGTTGTTCGCTCTGCGTCGTGCCACCTTTCATGAAGGTCCTCAAGGAACGTCGGTGGTGACCCAGGAGGGAGGACTCCAGCTGCCTCTTGCTCGGGCTGCTTCGACCAACGACTTCAAGCACGATCTCAAGCCCCCCGGCAAGCCTCTGCACGCCCTGCACATGGTTCTGGAGAAACAAGGAATTCAGTAGGTCGGCGGCTCCGGTGTCCAAGAGCTGGAAGAACCGTTGGGGCGACCGGGATTCGACGGCCAAGAGCAGGTCGGACGGCCACCACCGCTTCACCCAGTCTTCGCGAGGGCGCGGCGTATGAGATAACAGGCGAGGGCGAACCGTGGGGAACCAGCCTACGAGGTCTTCGCCGGCGAGTCGCCATCGCCGGAGCAGGAGTCGGAGCGCAGA